ACTGTAGACAAAATAAGAAGAAGAAAAGAAAAAAAAATTAGAGTTGGCTAAAATCTTATTAGATCCCTGAAGCAACTTCATGTTTATCACACRATAGAAATAAACTGAGTACTTACAGTCTCATTTTGCTTACTAAATACTGGCATGGCAACAGTTGTCATCAACACCAATCCCTGATCATCAGCAAGCTATATTTGAAAAAGAAATACCATCTCTGAGAACTGAGGAACAATTACAGRCACACAATTCAGTGACACGATTTCCATTTTCAGCGAGGTAAGGCAGATTATCCAAATGACACGGAGACAGTTTGACCCCAGCCCCAAACCCAGCTGAGCTGAACCAGCTCTGCCCATCCCAGCACCTCCAGGGCCAGGAGATTCCTCATCCTCATTGCTGCTGCAGCCTGCCATGGCACAGAGAGAGCTGAAAGTGGTTTGGGGAAGCAGCACGGGCAGCAGCCAAGTGGCTGGAGCTCTGCTCCACATCCCTCCCACTGCCAGCTCTGCCAAAACGGCCTCGGGCTCTTTTCTCCCAGCAAAGAACAAGAGGTGATGGGCTCTRTGAGCTTAGTTCTGAGATCTCCTCAGCTCACCCAGCGACACAAAGGGTGACAGCCAGGAAGGATCCCAGCAGCACCTTTGCTCCAGCCGGTTTCAGTGTGCTGGACAAAGAGGTTGTATGAAGCATCAGTGGATCCTGCACATCAGGTTTCAGTGCATTTCACCAGCTTAGGCAGAAAACAGATCTGCTGACCTTGGTTCCATTAAAGAGAAACATTTGGGGTGGTGATCACTGGCCACAGGACAGTGGGAGTGCCCAGGCTGGGTCTGTCACACCCTCTGCTCCAGCCCAGCACTGCTCTGTGCCTGCACATCTTCACCAGTGACTGTGAAACACAGCTCAAGAAAGGTGGGGAGAGTTGTTGTTCAACCCTTTCCGTCCCCAGGGACCGATGTTTAAAGCTGAAGAGGTTTATCCAACATTCAGAAGTGTGACACGGGCAGTTGTGGCCTCAAGTGGGGATTTTGGAGAATACAAAATCTGCTTTGCTGCACGGTGTTCAGCCAGATGGACACAGCAATAGGGGTGATCTGAGCAATCCTGCAGGTGACAGCCACCCCCCAGTTGTGACTGTGACATTCTCCTACCACTCTTACATCTGTATCATGTTTTCTGCACTCAGGTAGAACTTCTAATCATTATTTCTTTCCTTTTTAGAATTTTTGCAGTTTATTTTTTGTTTCGTTTGTGTTTACAAAGGTTTTCTTATAATGAAGTGGTGGCGATTGGCTCCCCCCATTTTCAGAAAAGAAGTCCTACCTAATGATAAAGACACTTGATGAAGCATGTCTCACATTAACAAATCAGACAAAATCTAGAAAATTACATSTCTTGCAGCTCTCAATCTGCTTCAGGAGGATTTTCAGTTTGCCAGGCAAGGATATTTTCTGAGGCAKGGCACTATCTCATGGTGAGAAGGAATGTTTGCAGATATTAGAGAGGACCACAGATGGGTTTAGAGTCCAGAAGGTTTACATCTGATAGGAATCACTAGGGATATGAGGCGGAGCAAACTTGTGATCGTATTTCTTTTTTCTTGTTTGTTTTCCTTGTTAGCAAGAAGAGGTAATTCTAACCCTACTATAACCATTGATGTATCAAGGAATAGTAAGCTATTAAACAAAYAAGAAAARAAAAACCCAACTTGGAAAAAGTAGTGGGTTCAAAGGTTGCACTTGAAACTCAAATTCAGCCAAACTAAAGCAGGAATTTCCTCTCCTTGGCCACAGCAGTAGAGTCAAGCACACTGACATGATTTGTGTGGAGTGGAGCCCAGGAAATGATGCATTCTGCAGATTACATGGTGGCATTTTGGAGCACTTAGAGATTTTGTGTGATTGYCCAGGGTGGTTGCTCTCTGGCATTATGTTTTTGTCAAGAACTCATTTTACTTTACGAGTCCACTCACTCTCAAGACATTACTAAAAACAATTTAATGGATAGGATGAAGCCAAGGGACTGTCTGTAGAGTTTTAAGGTGTTTGAAATTCTTTACACGGATAAAAAAAAACCCCAAACCCATGGTCTGGAGTTTCTGGGAAATTCTGAAATAACTGCTCATTAACTCTCAAGGCTGACTATGGAAGCAGCCAGGAGTAATTGCCCCATAATTTTGTTATCTRTGAGTACCAACTAGAGCTGGCTGCTGCAATCATTTCTATAGAATTGCAGTGCTATAATCCAGCCTGTTTGATTGTTTATTTGCTTGGCAGATGAACAGGTTGTTGGCCACTTCCACAAGTGGAGTCAGTGAATGACTGGGTGAGCAGGGACTTGTATTTGCAATGTTTTACTGAGTCACTGCTCATCATGCTATATCTGCTCTAAAATCATGAATGAAGGAGACAGCAGCAGGGATTTGCCCCAGGTTTTTCTGTTGAAAAGACGTGGTGGTAACAGTTTTAGACGGGAAACTACCCAAGGGCTATGGACACTCAGTTTGGTAAAATGCTTAGCAAAAAACCAACAAACATTTAAAAGAAAATAAATCTCAAGACTGAGGAAAAAATGCATTTCCAGGCTAAATGTCTCTTGGCTGCTTAGMATAAAGAAACAGAACTTGCTCTCTGACAAAGATACAGATCTCTAGTACCTAGCGATTATAGCTTCATAATTGGAGAAAAACTCCTTTAGATTTAACTAAAATAGTTTTCCCTTTAATTCCTTCCTGTACATAGTTATCCTCCGAGAATAACCCCAAGTAAATCTTCACAAATAACAAATAAAAACCATCCTCTTAYAGCTAAGCACCTAAAGTTTAGCCTCACATCCAGCCCTAGCATCCCTCTCCAGGACAAAGACTTAGGCAGGATTCAGAATTGAACCAGACACACACATACAGGAAAGAATATACATTTTCTTAGGTGTTTCCATTTTGGAAAGAGGAATTTCAAAAACATCCCTGAAATCTTTTCCTTGTCAAGAAGAGTTACAATGGGCTGGCCAGGATTYCTGGCACACCTGCTCAGCCCACCCACCTCCCTCCATTCCTGACTCTGTACAGATTTGCTTCACAGTCTGTTGTCTTCTGTGACCACTGYACTTTGATGTGCTGATCAGAGTCAAGAGGCAGRCTGGAAGCRTCAGAGAATTGGAATTTGTGTTTTRTWCAGACTAAAAGAATAAGAAATAGCTATTATTTTAGCATAGACTCAGATTATGGTCTGGGACAATATAGGAACCTGTGTGAGTGTCTTTAGTTAAGGACACATTTCTGTGTTTAGCACACAGATAGTAAATGAAAAAAAAAAATCCCCTTATATTGTAAAATACTTAATTCAAGTTTGTAAATTGGTAATCCAAAAATGCTATTAAAAGTCAGTTTTCTTGTTGAGGAATGTGAGAGATATTTGGAAACTACCTTTAAGATTGCAATTAACATGTAAGTGAAAATTTTAATGTTTTCTGAATCAAAACCAAATTTACATAACAACTGAAAGAGAATAGCATCTCATTGGGAGGAAATAGATTCAAAGGAATGCTAAATCAAACTGTTTACTTTATGAGTATTTTGTACTCCATTAAATTCAACTTAACTACTATAATTTTATAAAAAGTGCTAAAATYACTAGTCATGCACTTTAATGAAATAGCTTTGCTAGTTTTCTATTTTCGATTCCCAGTGACAGTTAATTCAACTCTTCAAAGTAGAAGGTAAAGGATGCGGTGAATGATAAATGATGCTCCCAAAAACTGAAAGATGATAGAATCAAGATACAGGGAGGGCACAGCACTACTTACAGAAGTTAACKATAACCCAGAAAGAGAGAAGAAAACTGTCAGGAACTTTCGGGCAACAAATATCATCAAATAATTTCTATATGGAGGAAATATGGTTCCATTCATGAGGGAATCATTAAAAAAAAAAATCTTAAATGTTCCTAAACACAAAGCTCTGCTTCTGATTTGTGTRCATAATTTATTCACTTCTACCTCTTCACTCAAGCTAAGTAGAACAAAACATCACAGCAGGAGTAGGGCAAAAGCTTTTGAATCCTGCTGTGTTTGCTCAAGAAGGCAAGTAAAGCTTTCCTACTGGGAAACAAAACACCTTTTTGAACTATTAAGGGAAAATGGCTTTTGCTCTTCAATGCATACAAAAAGCTGTTTTACGTAACAGTTTCAAAGATAAAGGTCATTTCRGAAATCAAAATGAATAAATTTGAAAAGTGATAAATTTGAGTCATTATTTTATCTTACTGCTATTTTTACAGCCCTGTGGGATGGCTCCCTGAAAACATTCATAGAAGAAACATAGAGGACAAGTAAAATTCATATGAATTTGTTTCATTTTTCTGGCAGAAAGGCAACTTTTAGACACATTAACTCTTCMTAGACATATTTTGTTCTGTAAGTAACATAACCATGTTAGATCAATGTCTCTATTGCCTGAAATTATGATGAGCTTTTTACTGGGGKTTTTGTGGGTGGTTTGATTTGGTTTTGTGGTATTTTCTATTTTAAGTATAGGGTATATMACAAAGATCTTTTCCAGACAAATATCATGGTGTGACAGACATATCCACCTTAAACTCTGCATTCTTCATTTCACCCACTCTCYAACTCTGAATTTGCAAAAGTTTTGACTAAGAGCAGACAGTATAACACCAGCAGGTTTAATTGTTATTTAAATGCTGTAGACAGTTGAAAACCCACAGGTCTTCAAAATCAATAGCTAATCACCACAGAACATTGCCTAAGCATTGAAGAGTCTGAAGCCAAAGTGTTCCACATATAAGAGAAARCACATTTCATCAAGATGGTGAACTATTTATAATAGATATAAAATAGTAAAGGTAAACTTTACATGCCACATTTTTCTTTCAGATCACTCRCAGATTAAAGTGAGCATGTTTAGAGAGACATGACTGTTTGAAATGTTTATAGAGAAAACATTTGCGAGATGATACATAGATTCCAACAAAAATACAGTGCGAGTTCAGACACCATATGGCAAAACAGTGACTAAGTCAGTCATAAAGGCATGCACCAGCCCTTGTGCTGCTTCCCTTCACCTTGCAGAGAGAGAGATTCTCTTGGTTTGTGCATGAGCTGTCAGGCCATGCTTATTAAAAAGCACATTTCTTGCCTGAAGTTATCAAAAGCCCTGGAGGATTACTTGTAC